ATTATATTATTCTATATTTAAACATTAAAAAATTAAAATATTTTGCAAAAGCCCGGCCCTTCCCGCCTCCCCCTAGTTCCGCTCCTGTTAACCAAGGTATTAGACGATCTTTCTTGGGTCCACCTCCATCTCCATTCAAGAGGAGAGTCTATTGTTAGTGGAGCCAGTCGTATTATTATTTTTCTTGTACGGGTAGACAACGAAATTTAAAGGCTGGTGGTTTGGGAGGTTGCTGGGTCATTGTACGTTCACTGATTTCTTTCCTTCTGTTTTCTGAGTGATGACTTTGGATTGCCTTAGCCAATTATCAGCATTAAGCCCGCCATCCATAATTTTTAGTGGATTAGAGGTTAAATATGCATTGGAATTAAAAGATTGAAAAATCAATTACCATGTCATAAATTAATTCTAAATATATCTTTTACTTTGTCATCCGTAACCTGAATTCAAAAAATTAATAAAATCTTGGATATATATATAACAAATCAATCCACGCAGCACCTAATAATAACTACTGTCGCCGGCTTATGACATGTTTATACATTGTTATAAGTTTATAAAAAAAATATAAAAAATTTATAAAGAAAAAGACTGTTGTAATATATAATATTTTCAAGAAAAAAATTATAAAAATAATTTTATTAAAAAACATAAAAATTAAAAAAAAAATATTAAAAAACACTATAACAATCTAAAGTGTTTTGTGATGAAATATACAACCATAATTTTCAAGTAGTTTAATATTAAAAAAAAAAAATTAACGGATAATTTTAAAAAAATCATAAAAAAATCACGTGAGAAATGACTATAGTAATCCACAGTGTTTTTTTTTTAAAGTACAAAAATAAATTCTTAATCAGTTTAATATGAAAAAACATAAACAACAAAAACAATTTTAAAAACAAAAATCATATAAAAAGAAAATATAATAAAAAAAATCAATGTAAGGAAACACTATGGTAATTCACAATGTTTTGTAAGGAAAAACTACAGTTGAAATTCTCAATCAACTCAATATTAAAAAAATAAAATTGATAAAGATATTTTAAAAAAAAAATATAAAAACTACATGGCGAAACACTATAACAATTCACAATGTTTTAAATGAACAAACCACAAAACTAAATTAGTAACCATCTCAATATTAAAAAAATAAATCTGATAAAGATAATTTAAAAAAAAAATACAGAAAAACATTGTAATAAAATAAAAACATGTGAGGAAATAGTGCAACAATCAACAATATTTTAAAGAAAAAAACTATAAAGTTAAATTCTCAACAAGTTCAGTAGTAAAAAAATAAAATCAACAAAAATAATTTTTAAAAATATAAAAAAAACATAATGTTGGAAAAAAAATAAAAAACATGTGGGAATGGAAAAAAAATAAAAAAAGAAAAAACATTTGGGGAGTTGATTGAAAAAAAAACATGCAAGAAATGCTACAATACGTTTTTTATATGTCTTAGAGTATTAGTTAATAGTTAAATGACCCAGTTTAAGAGTTAGATTGTGAATTGGACAATTCAGCTTGCAAGTTGATATAGATTTATTTATTTTTTAATGAAACGATGTTATATTAAATAATTTTTCAAGAAAACTGAAATGACATTGGTTGATGTAATTTTTTTAAAATAAATTAATTAAATTTTAATTAGATTATCTAGATTGAGAATTATTTTACCAAGCCATTCAAGTTAAATCATATCAATTTTTCAATTGAAATAAATGACCTAGCTAGGGCTTTAAGCCAATGAGTCAACCAACTAAATTAGGTTTGATAAACATGCCTAGTTAACTTATTTTTTTTTTTATTAAAATTTCGACTAAATAATTATCTAAACAAATTATTTTTTTATATATATCGTATAAATTTTTTTTCAATCAAATTTTTTACTGAATAATTATTCAAACAAGTTATTTTTTATAAGATATCAAGTCACTATAGTGCAGTTGCACCACAATTTTCTATTTTTTTACTTTTTAAAAATCAAATTAATATTTTTTTATTATTTTAATGTGTTAATATAAAAAATATAAAATTATTTATTTTAATATATTTTTAAAAATACTTTAAAAACCATAAAAAATAAACACGACCATGACAAATTATTCACACGACCGGTGCATTAAAAAAATTCCCTGCATTCTCTTCTTAAATAACAATCTAACTCCTTGGAACTGGCCATCGCTCGTATTCACTCGGTTCATTACCAATTAGACAGAACGTCACTGTCATGGCAGTCCCCACACCCACCAAGACGCCGTTATCAAAAGAATAATAATAAATATTTAATTTATTAAAAATACCAAAATATCTTGCGCCGCGTTAAAGTTTTCTCCATCTCAAAGCAAAGAAATGGACGTGGTACGATCTCTTTGGCTACTTTTAGAGGATGCACGTCAAGAAACTGATACCTTCCACTTTACCTTCCAACAGCCACAAGATAAGCTCAACTCCTTGCCTCTTCCCCCCTCCCCTCCTTTATAGATTCACAAGAAAAGCAACTGTACTGTACTCTGTCATGGCGCTATGCGATGCGGTGATAGGGAATTTAACGACGATCTACGTGGCGGTGATAGCTGGAATTAAGGTTTATGGGCTGGTCTGTGGAAGGAGCTTCAGTGGTGGATTCGTGCTGATTCTGTCTACTATCGTAGTGGGTTTGATATTGACTGGGACGCTGGCGTGGGATATTTCTCGTAAGGCCACGTATCCGATTTCACGGGATCATGTCAATGTTCATGAGATGTGCAAAGGTGGTATTTGCTGGCACGGCGTGGCTGTCCGGTCCCCGGCTTCTCAGGTCCGGTTTAGACTTCCTCAGCGTTAGCAATTACTATCAAGCAATACGGGTTTTCTGTAAAAAAAAGACAGATTTTGAGAGACAGCGCCATAACAAAAGTACGAAAAGAAGAACGAGAATAAAGAAAAGGGATTAAAAATGCCAGGTAGAGAGTCTCTTTCTTGGTTTTTGGTGGTTCTTGCTGTCGAGTATGAGCCTTTTTCCTTGAAAGAGTGACTCAGGAGGTGTTTGTTTGTTTGCCAGAGAGGGAGGAGATACAATAATGTGCATATAGATAAGTTAAAAGAGTGACGAGTGTTTTATTTTTGAGTATAAATAAAAATGTCTCATAAGACATGCATTTTGTTTTCTTGTAACTGTTTCAAGCTTTGCCACGTCAACTTATTTTTGAGCCGTTGCATTTGCTGAAGAGCCAGGCTTGGCGGTCGATACTTGATACTGGTGGCAGCAAAACAAGGGAACTGTTCAGCTGAAAAGAAAACGTTCGGAGTGAATTTCCAGGGCCGGTGGCTTGGTTGGGTTTCTTTGCATCTCAATTTTGGCGAAGTTTTGCTTTCTCTCCATTGGCTATGGCAGCTGGTGTTTGTCACATGCTTTTTTTTTTTTTTTTTAAAGTATAATGATTTTTTAGTTTTTTTCTTCACATTTGCCAATTTTAAATTAAAAAAAACACTAAAAAACATTAATTTAATGATTTTTAATTAAAAAACACTTTAAAAAATAAAATTAACTACCAAAACTATCACCACCCTAATAGACTATCATCATTATACATTTATTGTGGTTTTAAATTTTTTCTCATTGAATCATATCTTAGTTTTAATGGCATTTATTAACATATCTATTCTGCTTTCAATACCATGCAACGTCTTTCATTAGCCCTATTAATTGGTAGCCCAAAAAACGTTTTCCATTAACTTCCGGTTTATCCACTTCTTTTATCACGGGTAGTATATACGTCGACCTGGTTTGCCGTTTAGCCGGATACATGTAAAATAATGTTTTTTAAGATTTTAAAAAAATCAAATCAAATTTCATTCATATTCTAACCAGATTGAGCGGGTTATAGATTAAATTATCGGGTTGATTAGGTCAACTCCAACCTAATTTAATACGAAATCTAACTCACATTAGTAGTTTTCACGTCGGGGCAAATTGACTTGCTAGATTAAACCATATTTAATAATACTTTTTATTGACTACTAGCAAACTAAAAAAGAAACAATTATTTTCCTTATTCTAAAAAAGAAACTAATTTTTCCAAAAAAAAAAGGTGACGATCTGGGTTTGAACTTCAAATCCTGCTGTTATCATCTAAAGAATTTGAAGAGGACATGATTGAAGATCAATAAGCACAGCACGAATTTGAATCAAATGCGGACCCTTGATAGTAAAAATAACCAGTCCGAATTATGGGCCCACTGGATAAGCCCAGTAAACCGGGCCCTATAGCCCAAGAAAAATCCTAAGGACCCCTTGATAGTCGATAGTAAAAATAACAATGTTTAACCCATTTCAAAAAGTCCAGTATCTTTTAATTGGGCCTCAATTGACTATACAAGGAGGAGAAACGACACCGTCTAAAGAAGGCTGGAAAATGCCTCTTCCTTCCAAAACCCTTAACAAACAGCACAAAACCCTTTTCTGTAAAAGCAACCACCACAAACTTCCCTGCCTCTTCTCAGTCAAATCAATGGCTCCAAGCTTCGTATTTGAGCCTCCTAGCGACGAAGAAGTTGAATTATCAGAAGCAGAAGAACTAGAAGACGAGGAAGAAGAAGCGGAAGGAGAAGGAGAAGAAGAGAAACCATCAAAACGGCGGCAGAAGCAGTCGCCTTGGGACTTTGCTTCCTATTCCGAATCTGTCGCCGAAGAACACGCTCGTCGAAGCACAACTTCCATCGATGACAAAATCTCAAGAGCTCGCCAACAACACTCCACTCCTTCAACTGAACACGCTGACGATGCTAGTTCCTCGGATTCCGAACCTGACAAACAAGTAAGTAACCAAGCAACTAACTAACTTCTTGCATTTATTAAGGAATTTATAGGTTTCATGTAATTTATTTTATTTAATTTTTCCAGGAAGAGTATAAGGGGGAAGATGATGACGGTGATGAGGATACTAATGTAGAGGAAAGGAAGTCATTTTTTGCGCCGTCAGAAGGAACTTCTTTCCATGCCAATTCGTTTATGGAGCTTAATCTATCTCGGCCACTGCTTCGAGCTTGTGAGGCTTTAGGTTATACTAAGCCTACTCCAATTCAGGTTTCCAATTTCACCTCAATTTTTACTGTCATACATTTACTTGCATTGGAGTGTAGGTTATTGAATTTTAGGGATTGTTTGTAGGCGGCTTGTATACCGTTGGCCCTCACTGGGCGTGATATTTGCGGGAGTGCTATTACGGGTTCAGGGAAGGTATGAGCTTTTGTTAATAACTTGAAAAATTGGTGCATTTTGTGTTTAGTGAAAAAATGAGTTGATCGAATAGAAATGCGAGGACTAATTCTGGATGGTTTTATTTTACAGACAGCAGCTTTTGCCTTACCAACCTTGGAGAGATTACTGTTTCGTCCAAAACGTATTCTAGCAATAAGAGTCCTTATTCTAACTCCTACCAGAGAATTGGCGGTTCAGTGAGTGCTTGTGCGCTAATCTTTTTAATTAAAGGCGTGTGTATCATATTTGTAAATATTTGATCAAATTTGATTCTGTACTTGGTGCATGTGTTGCAGGGTTCACAGTATGATTGAGAAAATTGCACAATTTACGGATATAAGATGTTGCTTGGTTGTTGGAGGGCTTTCTACGAAGGTATTTGTCTTCTCAATTCACTCAACTGTGTGAAAACATGCACATTTGGTTTGTGATGGAATAACACCAGTGTTTTGTAATTTGTTGCTTTTGATAACACCTATTATTTGATTGGACACGGTTGGAAGTGCACAATTAATTTGATATCATATACTTGCAAAATGGGAATTCCTTGTTCTTCTTTCATCAACAAGTCAGAAGTGATGTAAGTGTTGTTTAGGTGCAAGAAGCTGCCTTGAGATCAATGCCAGATATTGTTGTAGCTACTCCAGGGCGCATGATAGATCATTTACGCAATTCTATGTCAGTTGATTTGGATGATCTAGCAGTTTTAATCCTTGATGAAGCAGACCGACTTCTGGAGCTTGGATTTAATGCTGAAATTCATGAGCTGGTACCTTTGACCTCTTCTTGTTTTATTACATAAGATCTGTGATGGCTTTTCTGTCATTGTTAATAGTTTTGTCAGTAAGCTTAATTGTCAAGAGTCACAGTTGATCTCGTAAAACATTGCTCCAGGAATTAACAGCATCCATATCTCCTACAGTTAACAAAATTGTGCTAACTGAAATTTACGAATACATCAAAATTGTGCTAACTGAAATTTAGGAATACATCACTTTAGGTCTCACTGAGTTGGGCACACATAGAACAAAAAAGCCATTAGTTGCTTCTGCATTTCAGTAATCAATTTTGTTGTTGTAAGTTGTATGTAGTTTCAACTGAAGGTCTTGTTGCTGCTTTTAGTCTTTTATAATCAGTTCCTGGTTTATTGGCAGGTTCGACTTTGTCCCAAAAGGAGGCAGACCATGCTATTTTCAGCTACTATGACTGAAGAAGTTGATGAGCTTATAAAGCTTTCTCTAACCAAACCACTGCGTCTCTCTGCTGATCCATCTGCAAAACGACCAGCAGCATTGACTGAGGAGTGAGTCATTCTGACCCTGCATTTTTTATTTCCTTTTTCTTTCATATTGACTACAATGTGTTAGCCATCTGTATCTCAGATGCGTATTGGCAAGGGTGTATTTTTTACTGAAGTTATCATGGGAAAATGGCCTTCAACTTATTTTTGGATATACCCTCTGTTAATTTGATTTAACTAACCAAGAAGTATGGTTCTCTTCCACAGGGTGCTTAGACTACGCAGGATGCGTGAGGTCAACCAGGAGGCAGTCCTCCTTGCATTGTGCTCAAAAACTTTTACATCCAAAGCGATCATCTTCAGGTTGCTATTACATTATATTGTCATTTTCTTCATGAAACTCTGTTTTCTGAATTTTTTTTAAATAGCTTATCTAAATGCCAATAATTATCATGTAATGAATCTAGACGTGTGGTATTGCTGACGCGCATATGGAAATGTTGAAGTAACAGCAATTTGGATTTGTTTTATTGTTGTAATCACCAACAGATTTTAAAAATTCCACAATAGAGCAAATGAAAATAATAAAATAATCAAACAACTGTTTCTAACTGGGTCTATGACATGGGGACCATGGCAAAAGTTGATACTGTTTGACTGGCAACTTTAGCTTTCCACAGATCAAGCATGTCTTCCCTGTATTTAGACTTATCAGTTACATGAATTTAATGATCAATTTCAATTTCCTTTGGCAGTGGAACCAAGCAAGCTGCACATAGGTTGAAGATTTTGTTTGGATTATCGGGTTTTAAAGCTGCTGAGCTTCATGGAAATCTTACACAGGCCCAGCGTCTTGATGTGAGTTGCTTAATTTGAGAAGTTGTGTTTTGCTTGTTTTGGGTCTTTGCAGTTGCCTGAATATTGTTCCCTGTTGTGCTACCAAAGTGTTAGAACTCTGGGGATAGCATAGTGCTTAGCTTGGTAATTTTAGATCTTCAGTTGCCTCCCGGACTTATTCATGATTACATTCTGTAGGCTTTGGAACTTTTCAGGAAGCAAGAAGTCGACTTTTTGATTGCAACGGATGTAGCTGCTCGAGTGAGTGGAAACATGAGACTTAAAACATTCCTTTTCATATTGCTTTATTATATCAATATCACCTTCTTAGCCCTTTTCTAGTTTTATTTTGTTGATTTAAGGGGTTTTTTTTTTTTTTTTTTGTACTGGGGTGTTCAAGAATTGGAAAGTATTGAATAATTTACAAATATTTCTTTCGCTGGAACTTGGGAGAATTCAGCCTCTATGTCAGCATCTGGCTCTTTTGCTCACCTCTTTGTTTTCCTTGTTCTTTTTATTTGCTATAGATTTGGAGGTTGGATGATATAATGTGTACCTTTTTACCCTTTTCTTGCCTTTTTTAGGGACTTGATATTATTGGTGTTCAGACAGTTATCAACTATGCATGTCCCCGTGACCTTACTAGGTAAATACTGAACTCTTTTCTGATGTTGCTTGATTATGACAGGCCTGTTCTTTTTCTGAATATTTGTTCGTCATCCTACATTTGAATGCTGTTTTTGGGTTGTTGAATGAGCACAGTGCATTGTGGTATCACCTCTATCTTTGTTTCTCTGTGCAGTTACATTCACAGAGTGGGTCGTACTGCGAGAGCTGGTAGAGAAGGATATGCAGTTACATTTGTGACAGATAATGATCGGTCCCTTTTGAAAGCCATTGTGAGCCATGTTCTTCCTTTCATCTTCTAAGACTGGTTTAACTTTTCTGGCTAATTTTACCCCAGGAGATAAACAGTCTACATCCGCCACTTCTCCTGGATATTGTTAATCTTGAACCATTAATTTGGCATAGTAATT